CAAACACTCTGAGTAGCAGTGATTATAACAATCTCACTGAAACCGCTCTCCAAGCTGATATCATAATCATCAGACCTGTGCCAGTGGCTCACACTAGTCATCCTAGGTATTCAGGTTTCTGAGATCTAAAAATCAAGGTTGGAAGGCAGCCTATGCAGGCTTATCGCCAATAAGCCACCAAAAAGCCAGAATTGGAACTGTTGCTCAAGTCGTCGGGGACAAGCTTTGAGCACAAATACTCAGAGACAGCACCCAGGCCCTGAGTTGAAGCCTTAACAAACACACACATACACACACACACACATATACACAAACACACACACACATGGGTTTTAGACAAATGCATGTTAATTTCATTTCTGTCTCTCTCTCTTTCTTTTTTTTATCAGTCATGGGACTTGAACTGTAGGACTGGGCACTGTCCCTCAGCTCTTCAGCTCAAGCTGAACACTTTACCACTTGAGCCACAGCACCACTTCCGGTTTTCTGGTGTTTTATTGGAGATAAGAGTCTCACGGATTTCCTGCTCAGGCTGGCTTTGCACCACGATCTTCAGATCTCAGCCTCCTGAGTAGCTAGGATGACAGGCATGAACCACTGGCGCCTGGCAATCTCATTTCTCCTTAAAGACAGCATCTTCCAGTGATAAGTTAACACTTAACACAGTTCTACTTCATTTTCTGTCTTTCTTTCTTTTCTGGGGGAGGGGGAACAGGGAGTTCAGGTCATGGGGCCTGAAATCAGGCCTGGGCGCTATCCCTCAGCTCTTCAGCTCAAGGCTAGTGCTCTACCACTTGAGCCACAGCACCACTTCCGCCTTTTGTCTTTTTGCTTATGTGGTTCTGAAGAATCGAACCCAGGGCCTCAGGCATGCAAGGCAAGCGGTCTACCACTAAGCCACCTTCCCAGCCTCCATTTTCTATCTTTCTGTGTTGCTTGCCATTTTATACAAAGAAGGACACATTGTGATCACAACATCCCAACTTTGGGTGATCAATCAGTGAGCCAAGACAGAGACCCCATGGAGCTCACTGTCAAGCCATGAATGCTGGGGGCTCAGTATATCCCAGGAGAGGGCACAGTGTTCTCTGGACTCTCCCCTGCAGTGCTCAGGTTATTTCCTACCAGTGGTGTGAGAAGTAACTTCGAATGAGCTCTTAGCGTCTTCATTTAACTTTCTTGACACCGCTGGGACTGGGAGCACAGACAGAATAGGGCAACTGACTGCGCTGGTACATCATGACGACAAGAAATAAACAGGGTCAGAGTGACAGCAGCAGGGGAAGTGACTAAACACCCTGGGGAACTCCTCCGTCCTCCTCTGATGATATGGGCATGCATGATCAAGCCAGGCTTCCAAAGAAACTCTGTGTGTCTGCAGTCCAGACAGCCAGAGGAAGGATTCTGCAAACTTGGTTCAGAACCAAGGGTGGGGTGAAGGCCCAACACTGCCCATCCCAGGATGAGTTGTGGTTTTCAGATTCACTTCTCCCCCTATTCTTTTTGGTGCCAGTGTTAGGCCTTGAAGACAAGCCCTTGGTGCTCAGATTATTTTTTGGCTGTTTGGATCAAGATTAGTTCTCTACCACTTGAGCCACAGCTCCAATTGTGGGATTTCTTTACTCATTTAGTTTTTGTAAAGATAAGCATCACCTGGACTTTTCCTGCTCTCATTAGCTTTGATCCCCAATCCTCACATCTCAGACTCCTGAGTAGCTAGGATTGCAAGTGTGCATCACTGGCACATCTTCATTTTTCTCACTTGTGTTTGCGGTTGAATACACATCTTTCTTGTTTCTCTCAATGCTACCCTTTTCGTTCAGGTATTTGCTTGCTTTTTATTCATTCCTGTTTGCACACTTCAGCCGCTGTGGCACAACACTGGTCAGTTGCCTCCAGATGAGTCCTGTACAACTGCCAACTCACCTGTGGTAAGTTCCATCTTCTAGGCATTTAGGAGTACTTTCAAATGTATTTACAAGGGGAATCACAAAATCATAGTGTGTGTGTGTGTGTGTGTGTGTGTGTGTGTGTGTGATTATGTGCCAGTCCTGGAGCTAGGACACTGTCACTAACACTGTACCAGGTGAGCTCTAGCTCCGCTTCCAGATTTGGTGATTCTGTGGAAACACAAATATCACAAACTTTCCTTGCTGGAGCTGGCTTAGAACTGGGATCCTCAGATATCAGCCACCTGAGTAGCAGGTGAGCCACAAAATGTTCTTTCCATAAGGGCTTGCATTTTCTCTATTGCTATCTCTAAAATTTCCCAACTTAAATTAGCTTGCCAGCTACTACTTTAATGTTGACCATTTCCCCATCCTATTGGACACTGAGTGGTGGCGCTGTGAAACGTGGGCTTATTCACAAGGAGCTGACTTGTTCTGTGTTTTCTCCCAAAGGGCTGTCTGCTCTCCTTGTCCTCATCCCAGGACCCAGACTGTAATGTTGGGGTTCCTTTCTGACATTGTTCTTGATCTTTGTGTCTGAATCATCTCTTTGATTTCTGTGGCAGAAATTTCATAGTGCATCTTCATAGTAGCAAGTTTTCACAGCAGATTTTTTTTCCTTTATTTTTGGGTGTGGTTGTGAGGCCTGAACTCTGGGCCTGGGCGTTGTCCCTCAGCTCTTCAGCTCAAGGCTAGTGCTCTGCAAATTGAGCCACAGCACCACCTCCAGCTTTTTTCTTTTTGCATATGTGGTGCTGAGGAATCGAACCCAGGGCCTCACGCATGCAAGGCAAGCGCTCTACCACTGAGCCACCTTCCCAGCCCTTCACAGCAGATTTTTTTCTTTCAAGTGTGTGGGGCAGTTTTCATTCTATTTGTAAAGCACAATAATTGTGTTGGGAAATGTTGTTCAGCTGAAACAACTCTGCACCCTTGTGGCTTCTCAGAGCAGTGGATTGGCTTCATCAGTGTCTAAGAGAGAATAAATGGAATATTATTCTGAATGGGGAAAGATGACATTTAAGAAAGACCGGGTGTGAGGATTCTCATGGCACTTTGGTCAAGTGTATAAACTGCCTTAATCAGGTTTATTTATATCATTTCCATCTTTCCGTTTTTCCCCCTGTTATTTCTGCTAATTGCTAAAGTCTTTGTGTAAAATAATGTATTGCAACAGTTGGTCTTAGTAACATGAGTCCTAAAATTGCCCAGTGAGTCATGGAATGAGAATCAGAACAGAGAGCCTTATGGGAAATACGCAGCCCAATTCAGTTCTCTGTGAGGGAGCTGCATTTAATACTCTCACTTCACACTGCTCTTCTGTCCAATAAGAAGGGAAAATATAAAATAAAAGACTTCACTAGAAAGTTATAGAGGTCATGCTAAATAACATTAAAAGTTTAGAGATAGCAAAACAGTAAAGGCAAGCACTTCTTAAAAGATAATTTTGGTGTGTGTGTTTTATGCCTGTAATCCTAACTACTCAGAAAACTGAGATCTGAGGATAACAGTTCAAGGCCAGCCTAGGCAAGAAAGTCCATAAACACTGATCTCCAATTATGCACTAAAAAGCCAGACACGGAGCTGTGGATCAAGTCATAGAGTACTGATCTTGAGGAAAAATTTTCAGGGACCATGCTCAGACCCAGAATCAAGCCCCAAAACCAACACACATAGAAAAAGACAATCTGGAAAGATCCTGATTACATTGGAAAGATACCACATATTACCAATATGAGAATATGATGAACATTTGTGAACCATAGCCAATATCACAATTCCTAAGAATTCTAATTCATAAAAGTTAAAATGTCTCTGGAAG